CCAGGTCCTGTTTTTCTAGGAGCCATAAGGACATCCTGCCATTCCAGGTGCCATGGGGACATCCTGCCATTCCAGGAGCCATAGGGAAAAGCCAAGTCCTGTCTTTCTAGGAACTGTGGGGACACACCAAGTCCCTCATTTCCAGCAGCCGTGGGGACATCCTGCCATTCCAGGAGCCACAGGAACATCCCAGCCTTTCCCTGCCAGCCCAGTGACACAGAGGGACGGGCTGGGGACGTGGGGACATCACCTCCCCGGGCACGGTGGCTCCTGCAGGGCTGCTTTAGGCACAGACAATGGAGGTTTGTGCCGAGGTAAGCAGGTGCATCCGGAGCCGTCCGTCTTCCCTCTGTCAGCATTACACCATCATTAGCTGGTGTCTGCTCAGCGGGGTGTGCCATTATGTCTCCCAGGGCTGATGTAATTATACATTGACATAATTAACCCAGCAAGCCCATTAAGCAGGCCAGCTAAAAATTCATCTATAATTATTTGTTGTGTGCATGCTAATGAGTCCATCTGCACTGCCATTGTACAACATGAACAAATTAATTTACAAGTCTGGGTTTTTTAATAAGTTCAAGAAAATGCCTCCTATTGAGCCAGGTTAATGTAGGTTTGGGGGATTTTTTTTGTTGGTTTTTTTTTTTTCATGGAAAAGAAGAGGAGAGAAAATAGATTTGAATTCTCCAGGGTCAAAAAGTTAGGCAAACAGGGAAGTGGGGTGGAGTTGGGCATGCTACCGTACGGCACGTGGCAGGCATCCAAGGGTAAAAGATAATAACAGTGGGTGGTGGAAAAAAATTCCAACAACTGGCTGCCTCCACTCAGAACGGGACACAGAGCAGCTCTGCTGCTTGGCAAGCCCCTGGCTGAGATGCAAGAGGGATGAAGGAGGTCGAACATGGGATTTGGGGGTCAAACACAGCCCCAAATGATTTTGGGAGCGAATCCGCCCAGAAGATGCAAGATTTGGTCCATGCCAATGTGGAAACAAGGAATGCCATGGCACGTGCTCCTCCAAATGGGATTTGGGGGGGTCTGTCTGTCCCACTGCTGCCATCCCACACCATCACACCCCACAGCATCCCCCCAGCATTAGTGACTGCCAAACCAAAATTCCCTGGAGCATCCTCCACAGGGAATGTCATCCCTTCTTTCTGCTGGACATCACAAATGAATGGATGGAATAAGAGGTTTGTGCCAGGATTCTGGCCAACGTGGATCCAGAGGCAGATGCTGAGTGCTGTCAGCTCTGTCACTGAAACAGGGAGGTGGCTCCAGCTGGGACCCTCCTGGGGATGCTCACGGCATCCTTCAGCTCCTGGCGTGTCTCACTCAGCTCAGCATCCCCCAGGCTGGTTCCCCACCCAGGGGTGTGGGATGGCAGTGATGCAGCACAGCCCCAGCCAGCCTGGATGCTCCCACAGCCATTAATAACTCCATAACGACATGAGTGGAGATAAGGATATGGATAATTAAACCCTGCACTCCGGGGGCTGCTGGGATCCCCCCTGTCCCCCCCCAGCCCTGGGGGTGCTGGCAGGAGGCTCCGTGCCAGCCTGTGAGCTACCTCCATGGAGATAAACACTGGGACAGGCCCTGTTTGATCCACACCAGCAGCTCCTCCTGCCTCCAAGATGAGAAATAATATGGGAAAAATGGGTCTGAGTGATAAAGCACCAGGGATTTTCCTTGGGTCAGCATTTTCCTTCCCATGAGCTGCAGCCCTCCGTGTGCTGTTCCCTGTTTGGAGCTGCCAGCCTGGGATGGAATGGTGGGAGCAGAGCTTTGGGAAGGGAAGAACAAACCTTTACAACAGCCAGGGCAGTGCAGGTGCCAAATTCCTGGCTGGAATAACTGCACTGAGCTAATGCCACACTGCCCAGCCACTGGGAAACACCATCCTCGGTTGTGGGGCTGGCTGTGCCACCACCTGTGAGATATTGGGGTGTAATCCCTTCCTCCATGCATCACACCTTCCACTGGGACAGGTTAGACCTGACACTGGCCAGCAGCACAGATGGGTGACACGAGGGACACAGGTGCCTGAACAGGACCTGAGGGCATCACTCTGGGGCCATAAATATATATTTATTTAATTAATATATATAAACTGCATATGTAGTGGGTGAGGATATGGAGTGGTAGATCAGCATGCCTGAGAAACAGTGTGTCCTTGCCCCTGGCACGCTGATCCATACCCTCACACATTATATTTGCAGTTTATTTATATTAATTAAATAAATAAATACAAATATAAGTGCCACCACTAGCTGGCGTCATTGGCCATCCTTTAGTGGCAGCGCTACAGCAGGATCACAGAATCACAAAATATCCAGAGCTGGAAGGGACCTCAAGGATCCAGGAGTCCCATTCCTGGCCCTGCACAGACACCCCAAAATTCCCACCCTGTGTGTTCCTCAGAGTGCTGTCCAAGTGTTCCCAGCAGCCTCAGGGCTGTGCCCATTCCCTGGGGAACATTCTCTCTGGGGGAGAACTTTTCTCTGATACCCAACCTAAACCACCCTGACACAGCTCCAGCCATTCCCTGAGTGCTGTCCCTGCTCACAGAGAGCAGAGATTGGAGCTGTCCCTGCACTGCCCCTCCTGAGGATGCTGTGGGTTGGGATGAAGGCTCTCCTCAGTTTCCTCTTTTCCACACTGAACAAACCAAGTGCCCCCAGCTGCTCCTCAAATGACTCCTCCTCCAGACCCTTCTCCACAGCCTTCCTTTGGCTGCTCACTAACAGGGACAGGGGCAGCTCTGAGCGCTCCTCACCTTTTCCTGAGCAGACAAGCACCTGTATCCCTGGGAATCACCAGCTAATCCCGGTGCCAGGGCCATTCTACCTAGCCCACTTTTCATGCTGCTGCTGCCTGGCTCCAGGAGGAGCACAGGGCACCCTTGGTGCACCCATGGGACACCCACAGCACCTCCATAGTGCTGTCACCTCTCCTCTGCCGCCCCATCCCAACCTGCTCAAACACATCCACCAGCGCCCTACAAATCCCTCCACGAGTCAAAGTCAGCCTTAAATCAAATCATCCCCAACAACAATGACATTAATTATGCTTTTAACACATTTTACTGCTTCCCCCCCTTCCCTTCACGCCACATCTGTGTGAACAATATCCAAAAGATTTACGGTTTTCTCCCGTAATTACAGACACACAGCCAGCTCACTTATCAAAATACTTGCTGAGCAATCAGGCTCCGTTACAGTCTCTGCCAGAGATTTGTGTTGACAGCAGCCATTCAAAGCAAAAAATGTCGAATCAGGACTTATGTGGCGCTTGGAAAGTATTCCACAAAGAGTTTGCCTGTCGAGAGACATGCGGACATGGAACAGACGGGGCTGAACGGCGGGAGGGAGGATTTGGGGTGCAGGAGAGGAGCCAGAGACGCTGTGGAGAGCAGAGAGGAGAAGGAGGAGTGCAGAGAGCACAGGGAAAGAATTTTGGGGCATGCATGTGTGTGTGCATCCATGTGCAGGCGGGAGGAGCCGGCGGGTGAGTGCGGGGAGGTGGGGAGGGAAGATAACTGGGTTCTGCAAGCCGAGCTGACATTTGGTTCTCGTAGCACAGGAGAAAATTTAATGAGGACAAAAATATGTCTCCCTAATTCCCCTAAGAAATCATTAAAACATTTTGTTATTCCTAAATGTCTGGAAAATGAATTAGTGGCCCTGCAGGAGCCTTTCCGCGCGTTTTCAGCCGTTTGCAGCTCTCGGCCCCCGACGTGCCGGGGGACGCTCCGTGCCTGGCGCACACCAAATCCCCCAAAGTGGGGAGCAGCAGGAGGGGGCTCCCAGCTTGTCACCCATCCCGAGCACCAGCTCTGCCAACACAGACCTCAGGGCTGCCCCGTGCCTCAGTTTCCCCCTCCCAGGACAGGGTGACAGAGGAAGGATGTCCCCGTGGAGGTGCTGCGAGCTGAGCTCGGCCGTTTCGCTCAACTTACCGTCAAACAGACAAGTGGGAATAGCCGCAGTGTTACTACACGGGCTGAGCAAATGTATTCCTTTCCTAACGTCAAGATGCATTTGGCTCAGGGGCTGAAACACAGCGATGGCAAAAGCTGCTTCCTCTCCTCTCTTCGGCTGGGATCTCCAGAGCACCATGCGCCGGCCGCGGTGGGCGACGCCAGCCGTGCCAGGGACGGTGCCAGCCGTGCTGGGGACGGTGCCAGGGATGGTGCCAGGGATGGTGCCACGGTCCTCGCTGGCTCCTCTGGGCACCGGCACACGACTCGTTAGGCAGCCAGGTCGCCACCGCGCTGCTTACCTGGAGCTCCGAGCAATTGAGTGTAAACGCTCAGGAAAGCCGTCTCAGCCTCCTTGCTGCTCTTACAAAGTGCAATCACCTGCGGGGAGAGGGATAAAGGGGTCAGGGATGGGCTCGGAGGGAGGAACCGGCCGAGCTGGTGGGATCAGCACCACCACAGCCACACACGGGTCCCCCCGGCGCTGCCCCATGCCCCGCGCAGCCATTGCTGCCTGTGGCCAAACTCCTCGTGCTGCTGCCATGTCACGTCGCCCTAAATCATTGATGTGCTCTGAGTAAATGAAAATTATAATTTAATGTCGGCGCTTAAATAAGGAATAAAGAAGCGCGCCCGCTGTTGTGCCCGCCGGGCCGGATCCGGCGCGCGGCCTCGCCCAGAGCCCTGCCAGGGTGGGTGGAGGGGATGCTCACATTGGGAATGGGACACGTCCTCCTGTCCCTGTCCCCCTTGGCTGTTGGGGTACCACGGTGCTGGTGACACTCACGCCAGCCTCATCCCAATAACCCAACAACGTTAATCTGCTGTGTGTTCCCATCCAACATTTATGAGCATGAATCATTTACTCCCTTTAATTTTTCAAGGCACAATGACACCTCAGGGCAGGGGCTGCTGCCCACCAGCTCATCGTGGTTACCCCTCACATCCAGCCCCACCTGGAGAGGATGGGATGGGGCAGCAGAGGGACACGAGGGCACAAGCATCAGGGATGGAAGTGACCCATTCCCAGCTGGAAAGAGCCAAATTGGGCGCTCACACCAGCCAGTGATGGAGGAAGAGGTGCCCACCCAGCAGACACACTGTTACGACAGAGAAATAATCAATTAAATTGCTCTTAAGCCACCGATGGGCTAATTATGAAACAAAGCCTGAACTTTGGGCCTCAGTTTGATGGCATCTCCCACACTGGAGCATTTCCCCCTCCTGTGTGCCAGCAGAGCTCCTGGCTCACCCCTGCAGCCCAGATTGCCATGGCTTGTCATTGCAACCCAAAGCAAACGGCTCATTTGTAATCCAGCAGCCACCTGAGCAAGCCGCCTTCTCCTCCGGAGCTCGCAGGCACTGGAGCACAAAGATCATTTTTCTATTGTTAAAATTGTATAAGCCAGGCTTTTTATAGCAGCTCGTACACAAACCCACTTTCTCAGCACCGCGGCTCCAGCAGAGGAGGAATTTGGGGGCTTTTCTTCGGCGTTCTGCAAAAATGCTTGGCTTCAGGGTGCTTTAAAATAATAACAGTGAAGAGGGGAAAGGAGGGAGGAGGCAGCCAGGAGCCAGCACTGCTTGTGTGCTGGAGCAGGACAGATCCATGCCTGATGAATCTGCCAGTGGGGTGAGCCCTGGTGGGGGATTTGCAGGGATGTGGCATCTGCCCTGTGCGACCTCCCCATTCCCAAACCCTTTGGAATGCACAGGAGTGGAGCAGGAACATAAAGGGGGCCATGGGGATGACTGGATCTGCCCCAGCTGCTCTGAAGAGCTGCATCTCCCCTGAGCTGGTATCAACCAAAGGATGCAAAGCAAAAATCCAGCCCAAATGTTCTCCATTCCCTCTCCATCACCCGTGTCTGTCCCTGTGCACCCCCAATCCATGCCAAACCAAACCAACGCCAAACCAAGCTGTTTGCACTGCATCTCCTCCCTCAAGCCACATCTCAGAGACAAAGCATTTTCCAAAGGGAACCTTTCCCTCTCCTCAGCAAGCCCTGTGGAGGTCTGAGCACCTCCACTGAAGGGTGGGAAGGAGCCTGCAGCATCCCCTGAGCTGGCTTCCTGCACATTCCAGCCCATGTCAGCGCCAGGGCATCACCAGTGTGAGCAACTGGCACGTGCTGAGCCAGACACCCACTCACAGCTCTTCCACAGCCCCACTAAACTTGTAGGAAATGTCAGCAGAAAAAAAGATATTTAACATTTTCAGTGATCTTTTCCAGATGGGGGATAATTTACTCAAATGCCAGGGGGAGATTCCTGCTGGAGCAGCTCTGAGTCCCACACAGGGATGGCTCACCCAACACCGAAACTGCTGCAATTCCTCACACAGAGCTGAATAAACACCTGAAAAAAGCCCACATCAGCCCTAAAATCAAGGTATTATAATAAAACACCTAAATTCTCACTTTCTTGACAGAGAACCAAACCCTGCATCCACATCCAAGAAAGCAACACCTGAAAACATGCTGAAGAGAGGAGGAAAGGGCTAAAAGTGGGGGAGCTGGGTTCAGGTCAGGATGGCATCGCTCCCATTCTCCCCATCACCACGATGCCCATGAGTGACACAAACCCAGTGCCTGCTCTGAGCGAGCTCTGCCTGTGCATTAAACACCCAGGTACTCTTAATTCCCATTTTTCCCCCTGCACAGCACCCGTGGGCTCAAGGTGAGGCTCGGCACGGGATCGCCGCCGTCTGATAAATTACATTTCCGCGCCGGGTCCTTTTCATGGCTGGTGACTTTCCAGCAAAGCAATTATCACTGCAGAATGCGTAATAGCCTAATTAATTACTATTGTCAGGCTGGCCTCTGTGCCATGATTATACCTTCCGAAGCCAACTTTTTAAACATTTGGAAGCAGAAATATTATTATAATTGAGTGACAAAAATGGTAAAACTCCCCCGGCGCTCGGAGCGTCTGAGCATCCCCGCTCCAGAGGCGCGGGATCTGCGGAGAGTTTATTCTTGCATCCCCCAGATCAAGTGCAGGATAAGTAGTGGGTTATTTCCATCTAAATACTGGTGGCAGTAAACCACAAATGAGCTCTTTTTCAGCGTGGAGGAACAGCTGTCGGGGGAGAAAGCGGCAGCAGAGACCCCAAATGTTGAAGAAAAGTGATGAAAAAGAAATTAATTCAAGGCTTCGCTGCTTTTTCTTGGGTGTTTTTTTTTTTTGCTGATGTGTAAAGAAGTTGGGGAGAGAGAGAGGGTGGCAAGGAGGGGGAGGTTGGGAAGGAGACACTGTCCTGGGTGATGGGGCTGGACCACCACGAGGAACCAGACACACCTTGGGGTCCTTTGGTGCCTGAGTGTCCAAACAACCCCTTAAATCCACCAAAAATGTGCACAGAGCCATTGTGCACCCCCAGATTCCTCACACGCACCCACAGATCCATCCCAGACACACACAAACCCCTCACGCACATCCACAGACCCATCAAACACTCACATAAATCCCCATAAATCCATCCCACCCCCGTAAACCCACTGCACACCCACCCAGACCCCACAGCATCCCCCCACTCCCACCATTCCCCCAAAGGCAGGAGCAGCTCCCAAGATTTTCACAAGGCCAAAAAGCAATTCGTGTCAAAAAGATCAATAATATAAAAATAAAGCCTGAGAATTCTAGTTAAAGGGAACATCACAGAAATATGTTGTTCACGTCCATGATTCGGAGATTAAAAAAAAAAAAGGGGGGGGGAAAAGAAGAATCAATAAAAGTTCTTTAGATGATGTTATTTCTAATGAGAAATACACCAAGACTGCTGCAAATAACTGCTTAACGGAGGAAAAAAAATGCATTAATAATTTACCTTCTAAAGCGCGGGATCCCGAATGAGAGAAAATTGCTGCTGGTTCTTAATTTTGTTGTAATATTGCCTGACAAGTTCAGCGATGTTTTGGCAAAGTTCTCGAGAGCAGAGACGGAGAATACTCAGTTCATTAGGTTATTTTTCCTCTCTTTTTTTCCCACATCATCCTGACCCTGCTGCCTCAGGGAGAAGGTGCCAAAGCTCTTTCCTTCCTGTGCACCACAGGATTTTTTGGGCTGAGCACCCACACCAGCAACAGGGAAAATATTTCCAGCTTATCCACCCTCCCCACCATAACTTAATCCGTGTTTTTTCACTGACTGTTCGAGCTGGTTCTTTCCTTCTTTTTTTTTTTTATTTTTTTTCCCCTCCATTCTTTTTCCCTGAATTTATTTTTTTAGTGCATTTGCTGACAGTTGGCAGCTCTGAACCATCTGCCAGCCGCACAAATCTCAAAATCAAAGTTTTCAGCACCCAACCCAACGAGGAACAGGCTGATTTCTGACCACCACCAGGAGAAGGTGCCACCTGGGCAGGTTAATTCCCAGCAAGGATTTTCTTGCAATCCCCCCATAATTATTTTGCACGAAAAAATATTTTCCTGGAAATTCACGCTCGTGAAAAAATATTTTCTTGCAAAAATAGGGAAAATTGTGAGGCTGACAGCAGTGGGCCAGGTTGGTGTGGGATACAGGCAGGGATGCTCAGGCTCTGCATCCTTGGCATGGATGATGGGGGTGATGACGGGGTTCCCATTGATCCCCAGATTTGGGATGCAGCCAGGCTGGCCCCGCACCCCAAGGATTGCAAAGTTTCACCTCCCACTTAGCAGAACAAAACTTTTAATTTAGATGTTTTCATCTATCTATCAGAGTAAAAAAAAATAAGTTTAAAATAATGACTGTAATAAATGAAGGTAATTAATTGTAGTTTGTTCCTTTACTGTCTAGTCAGCTTAATTTTACCTTTTCATCTAATAATGAGAAAATAATTTTTGTGCTCTGAGGGTTAATGATATGTAACTGCAAGAGCTGCTAATTGCATGTTGCAAACTATTCATCAAAATCCCCATCTGCGCTACTTGATTATGTTTGCTAAATTATTGCTTTGAATTATCTTTCATAAAGCAACTTTTGTAATTAGCAGGGCTTTCGCTCTGCTCTTTTCTCCGGCACAAGGATATTCAAACTTTGTCCCTCTCAAGCTGTTGCCATTAAACTGCTTTTGGGGAGAAAAAGGAGCTGCCCTTTCGTTGAAGAGGGGGGAAAAAATAAAAGCTGGGTTTATCCTCTGTGGTGACAATTTCTTCTTCTGGTCCTGCTGCTCCTTCCTCAAGGAAAACAATTGTGTAAGAGCCTAAATATTATGGGGATGTATTCAGGAATAGGAGAGAGAAAGGGCCTAACAAGCCCATCCACACCCCTCCAGGTTCATATTTAAAAATTATTTTTTCCCCTTTTTTCCTTGCCATTTAGAGGAAGAAGCAGAGAGGGAATGTTTGCCACCCTTCGTTTATGGGGTGATGCACTTGGCTCTCCCTGCTTAATATTCA